ATGTACCCGGAAAAGTAGAGTGTTTTATTGACTCTCAAAATTGGAGTAAAGTACAAGTGAGGACTCTTCCTCTATATATAGGCACTCTAATATGGATATATCTTATCATATCCACACTTGGATATGATATATCTTAACAAACTATGGATACACTATATCTTATCATATCCACACTTGGATATAATATATCTTAACAAACTATGGATAGGATCCCCTTCGTTAAGTCCCCGTGTCCCTCCGTGTAGTGACATAGGGGCAAAAAAAGAAAGAGAAGGATGGATTTTCTCTTGTTTTTGGCATAGCGCACCCCCAACGGAAGGGTCACAGAATAGGCTATTAGCTCAGTGGTAAAGCGTGCCCCTGAAATTGTGTCATTATGCCTGGGCTGTGAGGGCTCTGAGCCACATGGATAGTTCAATGTGCTCATCGGCGCCGGACCCTAAGATGTGGATCATCCAAGACACATTAGCATAGTGTACTCCTTCTGTTCGAATCGGGGTTTGAAACCAAACCTGTCCTCAAGAGGATAGTGCGATTTGGGTGAGATCCAATGTAGATCCAACTTTTTATTCACTTGTTGGATCTGGGAAATCCAAGGGGTTTTTACTCCTTAATTGTTCTGGACTCCTTCATTCATTGCATCTAAAACTCACGAATCAAATTCAGAACTTGCATTTATTTAACCTTTCCATAGTTTTCATATTCAACTATAAGGATATTCCAAACATCAAATTCTGACTTCTTGCGAAACAACATTAAACAATGTAACTTTGGCCTTTGATTTTCTTGTTTTCCTTGTCGTGCAATTCCTTACTTGAGCCATGGTTGGATTTTTTGATAAGAGGGTGATTTCATAGTCCTCCTCAACGGCATCCCAAAGATATTTTTCTCTAGGTAAGCTTCAATCCTTACAACCCATAGATGATAATTTTCACCTTTAAACACTAGTGGTTCTATTGTTGTGAAAGATGTTTCAGAATCTATGTAGCGGATGTAATTGGAAAAGACAAGGCTCTGAGTTGGGTCTGTATCAGATTACTTACGGAATCCTTAAGAAGAATGACTTTGATACCAATTTGTTGGTTTAGTTTGATAGTGAAAAACATAAAGTTATGTGAGCAGCCCTCTAAATATTGATCTCAAATCTGAATTTATGTTTAATCTGTTGATGGTGTGCACATTGATGTTGAATTTGTTTTTGAGGTTGAAAATGATTTTGATTTTGATTGGCATTAAAAATAATATGGATCATGGTATACTTGGCATAAGAGAGAAAGAAATTGATAATACTGCTTTTTGTTGCCCATCTTTTGAAAATTAGAAAGTTGTTGATGATTATAAATGTGCAGTTTTGCGATATAAATGTAGATAATACTTGTTTTGAATCAAAACACGTGCATTGTGACATTTTAGTTGATACTGACATTGTCTATGATTCTTTTTTGTGTGTGAAAACTGCTGCTGAGCACCATACTGATTTTTTAAACAAAAATGTTGTTATCTCTAATTTTGACAATTGTGTTCAAAATAAGGTAGAATTTGATAAAAATAATAAAACTGAAATTTTTGTTGGTGATATTCAAATTGAAGTTGATGTTGGGCGGCATGTTAAAAATAAATTTGAAAATTCAGTTTCTGAAATTAAAAGCAATGTTGTAAATGATTAAAAATGATACTGAAAATGACCTATTTGTTAGAGATATGGTTAAGAACAATCCTATATTATTTTCTATGTTTGGTAATTTGGATTTATCTTTTTTAGCTTGTGGTATGTTTGATGACTTATATGTGAATGAACCAAATGATTGTTAGGGAAACAAATAATTCTTTGAATAAATGTCAATATTTGAAAGTGTAAAAGATGATATGAGCTTATTGTTTAATAATAAAAATTTAAATTCAGTTCCTAAATCTTATGATTGCTTTGATTGTGGTTTCTTATCATTGAGTTGTAAATGATATGTGCACTAGAAAGTTTGGCGATGATTATTCCTAAACACTCGTGACCAAAATTAGGTAGAGGGGTGTATAGAATTTTTGTCAATGATTTAATTGAGATCAAAATTAATCCTAACATACAAAACATATATTTCCCAAATTTTGTGGTCCATGAATCCTTGGCCTGACCCGGAAACTTGTTGGCCTACATACCCGACCCGCAACTAATGCCCGCGTCCCTGTGAGATTGATGCATGGCCGTTGGATTTAGGGATTCAATCTCATCCATCCATTTGCCTTTTAACCTACATATATATCTATAGGGGGAGGAGCGCCGTTTGACTAATACATACGCACACATATATACTCCACTCACTCACTCTCTCTAGATTTCTCTCTCCCTTCTCTCTACACACTGCTCTTGGCAATTCTCTGTTCCAACTCCGGAGAGCCTCCGAAGAGCTTCGTTCTCTTTTTTAATATATATATAGAGATTAGAGGTGCTTTCAGTTTTCCCTATCTCGATTTGAATAGCAAGGGGTTTATTTTTTAGTGTAGAATTCGGTTTGTGTGAGATCTTTTTTTTTTGGCCACTGTTTTAGCTGTAGCATTGTTTTTCATTAATTTGTGGGATTACTTTTCAATTGTGTTGCGGGTATTAGAGCCGATATTGTCAGTTGAAAATACATACATATAATTGTATTTATAGATTATTTTATGTTATTTATTTTAAATATATTAATATATTTAAATTTTATAAAATTGTATATTTTATGCAATAATATCATATTGATGTGGATAAAAAAAAAAATGGTGATACTCAAAGATGAATATCTCTGTTGCGGATGTCCTAATCATATAAAAAACTAAAAATAGGATATACAAATTTACATATACACATGAAAGTAAAAAGATAAAATTGTCCATAACTCCTTGTAGTTTTGAAACTCTGCATAAATCTCACATTTACTTTACAAAATGTGTGGGACCCTCTTATACTTTAAGAACGTCGCATGAAACCCTTATATGATTTTTGAAACTCAGTGTAAATCTCCTCATTACTTTAAAAATTGCAGAACACCTCCTTATAATTTCAAAAATATTGCATGAAATCCCCTACCATGCAAAAAATATAAATAAGAAATCATCTTCTCATTACACAAGGGAGGTTTCATGGTTGTGGGGTTTTAATGCAACGTTTTTTAAAGCATAAGGGGGCACCATGCAACTTTTAAAGTATATAGAGATTTTACGCTAAATTTTGAAATCATAGGGGAATTATGAACAATTTACCAAATAAAAATAACAAAAATTTACAAAATATGTTTCCCTAAGGGTTGCTATAATCACACACACACACATATATATATATATATATTGGTAAACCCAAATTATGAAAAGCCCAATCTAATAAAATATACAAATTTATATATTTTATAAAATTTTATATTCTACACAATGATTTCAACATTGATGTGGATAATAAAAACAAGTGGAGATACTCAAAATATCTCCGTTGCGGATGCCCTAATCATATATATATATTGTTAAAGTCAAATTATTAAAAGTTCAATCTAATAAAGTATTAGGGTTGCGATTATCACAATTAAAAAGACTAAACAAATAATCAAGCCAATACTGTCTAAAAAAAATATGAGAAAGTGATTTTTGCCCAAAACTACACAGGTATGAAAAAATATCAATTACCACTTTGTTAACCGTCAGATCAAGTTGAAATTTTCGCGGAGTATTTGTGATTCATTGCTCTTTCAATCCAACGGTGAGATTTATAATCGGATGTTTATAATTTAACAAAAATTTTACAGAACGTGACAGATTTATATATATTTGACGAAGGACTTTAATTACCGCGACCATAATTTTTTGAAATTATTTTATTTTTTTTAATATTAGATTTGGATAATTTGTAAAATTATTTTTTAAAAAAATATATTTTGGATAGAATTAGGATTTGTTGCTATAATCATTTATATATATATATATTGGTAAACCTAAATTATTAAATACCCAATCTAATAAAATATTAGGGTTGTGGTTATCAAAATTTAAAAGATTAAACAAATAATCAAACCAAAACTGTCTAAAAAAAACTATGAGATAGTGATTTTGGCCCAAAACTACACAGGTTTAAAAAATTATCAATTTTGCTTCGTTAACCGTCAAATCAAGCTGAAATTTTCGCAGAGTGTTTGTGATTTCTTTCTCTTTCAATCCAACAGTGATATTTACGATCGAATGTTTGTAGTTCAAATAGAATTCTACAAAATGTGATATATTTTTTCGGTTCGTTTTCTTGATCTTGATTTTTTTTTTTTTAAATTTGTGATTTCGTTGGTTGATTGAGTTGTGATTGAGGCGTGTTTATACGCATTTTTTAACGACTCTTATATACAATTTGACCATATGTAGATTAGCTTTTCTGGGTTGGTGGACCCATGATTTTTTTTATATATATATTCAAAGGTTTTCTACGTTAAAATTATGGTTCTCTTTCATATTTTCTTTGCAAATGTAACTTGTTATTGTTTCTCGTGTTCTTGCAAGGGAATTGCATTTTTCTATTAATATATATATAGAGTGAAATTCTTGCAGTAAAATTTTTTGTTTAATTTTCTAAATTTTATATATATTTTTTGATCGAAAATATCAAGGATTTTATATATAAATAAATAAAATAATAATAGTTAAATACATATACACCGGGCATACCCGGGAAGCAACCAACTCAAAGGGAACTATCAACAGTAGCATGTCAGCTGCTAATTCAAAAGTGCTCAACTAATCAAAACTAATTGATATAAAATTCTGCACGCAGGAAGGGGCCATCACCAAAGGGCCAATCCCTACAATTAATAAAAATTAAAGTAAACAAAACTCCATAAAGCTTGAGCTGTCAAGCAGCCACAGCAACCTCCTCACCTTGGGATCAAAAGAGCCAAAACCTGTACATTAAACGAAGTAAAGACCATGTTTCATCTATTGTTTGGTTTTAAAGAGTATAAGATGCAATATGAGCATAATTTAATTTTATCTATAGAGATCTAGCGATCCAACGAGAAATTTTCAAGAGCCCCTTTGTTACGGGCAGTCCAAATGTAGTATACTGTTGATGCAAAGCCGAGACGGTGAAGAAATCTGAGAGAGGGATCCTGAGAGGTGTTGGAGCTGATCCAACTCGCAGCCGACTCAAGGCAGCACATGGTGATTGGGGCCTGCATCCACGAACAAATTGTAGCCCAGATTTGCGACGAGAATGGGCATGCAAAGAAGAGGTGCTGGATGCTTTCTGATTGAGTTTTGTAGAGGACACAGGTGTGATCAATCTCTAGAAACTCAAGTCTGTCCTTCGTCTTAATTTTACCCGAAGCCGCAAGCCACAGAATGAAGTAGTGTTTCGGGAGGATTGGGTAGTCCCAGAGGGTTAAAAAACTGTCAGTTGTTGTTCCGATCTCTAAGATAATCGACGAAAGCTGAGACATCAGAAATACCGCGACCAAAACATTTGTACAGCACTGCTCGAGTCTGCTCCAGATTACTGACCGCTGAAATCAATTTGTCTCTGATCAGAAGAATAGATTTTAAGAAATATTAGAAGTTAACTATATAGTGATTCTATAGTGATTCTATTACTCTTATTATTATGTATTCTTTTTTTTTATTATTAATCAATTCTAATATTTAAGCTATGATTAAAAAATAAATATCGAAAAAAGAAAAAATATAATGTATATATTTTTAAATATATTATAGTTTTAAGTATTATATTATGATATTTTTTTAATTTTGTATATTATGTTCAGGTTTTAACTATTTTTATTTGAAGAAATATCAGAAGAAAATTACATAACAAAAATAATGATATATATTAATATAAATTTAATTTAATTGTAAATTTTAAAATTTTATGATATATGAATCAATTAATGAAAGAAAAGAAAGAAAAAATAGAAGGAAAGATAAAATAAATAAATGATGAGGATCAATCAGGTATGATATTTTTATTTGTTTTTTGTTTGTTTATTTAATTAATTATAATTAATATTATGTATCTATTTTTTTAATTATCTATTATATTAATTTTATTTTCTACTAATAAATTTTTTTATTCTTAATATGTGTTTTTTACTAATTGATTTGCTTCCGAGTATTATATTCTAATATATTTCCTTATTGTATATGTGTTTTTTTTTTAATTGATCTGGCTGTGAATATTATATTCTAATGTATTTTTCAATTTAGTAAATTATGGTCAAATTTTAAGTATTTTAATTTGAAAAACAAAATGTTTTAAGAAATCCATACCATAATTTATTTTAATATATAAAAACTTCATTTTTATTTTATTAATTTCATTCTTGTGTATTTTTTAATTGATTAAGTTTTAAATATTATATTCTAATATTCTCTCTATCAACAAAAACTATGTTTATTTCCTATTTAATTTATAAAGAAAATGACCATGCTTCTCATTAATAGGGAGAATAATTTTTTTTTTTTTTTTTTTTTTTTGCACTTTGTAAATTATGTTCAAATTTTGAATCTTACATTTGACGGAATATTTGAGGAAGTCATACATAAAATTACAATAAATTTTAATATATACAAAAAAATTATTTTTATTTTAGTATTTTTATTTTTATGCATATGTGTAATTTTTTAATTATCTATTTTGATAATTTTATTTTCTACTAATAATTTCTTATGCATTTTTTTCAATTGATTTATTTTTTAGCATTATATTCAAATTATATTTTTTATTTTGTACATTATATTTAAGTTTTGAATATTTAAATTTGAAAAATACTTGGAAATTTTATATAGAAAATCATAATAATTTTAATATATAAAAATTTTCTTTTTATTTTAGTATATATATATAACTCAGCATGCAATCTATAATGGTAGTGGATATAATACTCTTTTATAAAAAATAAAAAATAAAAAATACTCCCTCTTAATATAAAAATAGTAGACAAATTAAGTGGGAATGAGAAAGTAATAAATTACTTAAAAATATATATATAATTGAAAAACACATGCAAACTAACTTTTAATGCATATGTAATTTGCAATCAACTTTTATAATATAATTCAATATAATTCAATATCCCAAATTATATATATATATATATGTATATACATATTATTGTTACAAAAGGAATTTTATATATATCAAAGCAATAGGATTAGAAATTACATTACGTATTACATATTGTTACAAAATAATGTTATATCAAGCAATACAATTAGATATTACATTATAGTATTTACAAAATGATGAAATAATAATTTTATGTCAATCAAAAAGTCATTTTCAATTGTAATAAATAGGACATCATAAGTAGTAGTGTAGTAAGTCATATCCTCTTACAACACAACAAATATATATATATTTTTTCTCAAATGGCTAATTGCAAAGAAATTGTTTCTGTTATACTAACTATTTTCTTGATCGAAGATATCATCTTGACATGTGAAGCTTCGCTAGTGACGATTGAAATAAGGAACAATATGGGTGACAAAAGTGATGTTAGTATTCATTGCTACGGAAATGGTCGCGATTACGGCAGCCAGTTACTTACTGCATCTGCCCCATTATATGGTTGGAATTTCGACTCGAAATTGTTCAAGTCTCCCAAGTATTACTGCGATTTTAAGACAAAACACGGATCCGGGAATTATGCAGTGTATGATTTCAAAATGAATTTTAGATGTCACGACGCATGCAAGTGGATAGCACAAGAGAATGGACTTTGCCTTCAAGAGAATGTAGTTAAGCATAGTTCATGGTGCCAGAATTGGAAAAATCCGGCCTTTATTGTAGCATGATATATATTATCTTACATAATCTTTGAAAGAAATTAATAAAAATGAGTAGTATGAACTTTAATTTGTACACCATATTTGGTGCTTAATGTTTTTTTTTTTTTTCTCAAAATGATTTATAAAAAAAAAAAATGATTCCGCAGTAGTTCTATAGTTATTATTTGTTACGGTCACGGAAGACTGCAACAAATTGTTTAAGTATCAATTGTTGTGAAATACCCCAAGAAATTAGTAAATACCAATTGTCAACAAATTATTACTACATTGTTGCAGTCGTTCGCGACAAAAAAGATAGAATCAAATTTTTTTATATAGTTTTATTTTAAAATAATAAATTAAATTTTAATATAATTATTTTTTAATTTTAAAATTAAAGTTAATTATATTTCTAAAAATAGTAAAACAAAGCAAAATTATACTTAAATTACTTAATCAATTTTAATATCAAAATAAAATACATTACAGTGAAAAAAAATTATACAAAATTTTAATAATACTATATAGTACGAATAGTATCATCATAATCTTCATATTCATTATTATTATTATCTCCATTGCCATAAAGTATAATATTGTCCACTTCTAGTGGCTTCATCGATTTGATTCCCACTTCCGCTCTCACTTTCCTCTCAACACATTTGATATGGATCAAATGGACTAACTATTTTGAGATAATATGGCTCTAGTTCAAATAGAGTTATACTGACGAGGCCGTCTTAAGCAAAACCGTGCAAGCACCTCAACTACCCCCGGGACCAATAACTCGGAGCAAAGTACGAAAATTTCAAGATTAAGTTTCAGCCTTAGCAATTCAATTGGACGAAGAAAATAAATTCAAAACACAGGCATGGAGGCCTCTTTCGTCCTTGCTGATTTTAATCCAACCGAACCAAGATCAAGACGAACTTCAGGAAGGTGCATTTTCATTGGCCCCACTAGAGAAGTCCAATCAATAATTTATTTAATGCTACTTGAATTTCCAATGTGATTTGTGGAAATTTCAAGAAGAATTAAATATTGTTGAACTTCCAAAAAAAAACCTTAAATGGTGGTGGATTTCCAAGACAATATAAATAAGGGTAGATTTTCAAGATGACATCAAAGAGAGTGGATTTCCGAGATGACATCAATGAAGGTGTGGAGTTCCAAGATGAGTTTAAAGGTCCAAGGTTGAATGCATTGAATCTATTATGTTTCCTAGGCTGATTGCATTAATTTGTTTTAACTATTTCCTAGAATGAATGTAATAGTTTCCAATTATTGCATTTATTTTCCCTTGTCTATAAAAGGGAAAATTTAGATGTAATTTGAGGATCTTTGTTTTTGAATATATTTGAACTTTAGTTCTTTCTTTAAACTAAGTGTTTGAGAGTGATTCCTTGCACTTTGGTTTATCCATCAAATCGGGTCTTTGGTTAAGTCCACAGGTTCGTTGCTTCCAACCTTCGCAGGGGTTTAACATATTCATTCGAGTTGTCTTTGTTTCGACTTAGTGGGTCTAAGACAAGTTCCTTAGGTTCCTAAGCAAGCAAGAATACTTCGGTACTGCAATTTTCCTTTGATTAAATATCTATTTCAACTGGGCATAACAAAACGTGAACCACCCCCCTCGGTTCCACGTCATCTGGTATCAGAGCCACATGATTCAGGTTTCTCAACTTGAATCTTTGTGTGTTTAAAAAAAAAAAAACAATATGCAGAAAAACAAAAAAAAAAGGAAAATTATTGAATTTCAAAAGTCGGTACCAATCAAAAGACGGTACTAAGTCATCCGGGTAGAAACGAGTTAACCTTTCTTCTCATTTCCATTTTTTTTTTTATTTGAAGAATTCCCTTTCCCTTGTCTTCGATCTTGTCTAAATACATCTTTACTCCTTGTGAAATTTGGTTGCGACACTGTGGATTAGTTACCAACGACTTGGATTTGGCTAAAGTGTAAGACGGAGAGGTTTGTTACGAGCGGAGTGATACACGAGGGTCGTGAAGGACTTTTATTTTTTTTCTAACAAATTATACATATATCTACAATATTTTTTCTAATGGCAGGTGAAGACAACCACCCTCATGGGTTTGATCCCAAGTTTCTCATGGACACCTTGCTAAAAGAAATGCGCAATCTGCACCATGCATCTCTCGAGACGATTAACAATAGGTTGGATCAGATCGAACTTAGCCAAACTCAGGGAGGCACTTCTACTCATGCAGGAGAACATGACCCAGAGGTACTGCCGGCAAGGAACAATCACCCACCACGAAGAAATGGTAGACATTTACCACCTCATGAGGATGAAGGGGAGTATGAGGATGACCATCTTAGAAATTGGAATCGTCGGGACCAGCGGAGACCAGAGGATGATGCCTTGCGATCTATCAAATTCCAAATTCCAAATTCCTCCATTCTATGGGAAATCTGATCCGGAGACATTTCTGGAATGGGAACGAAAGATTGAACTTGTCTTTGATGTTCAACCCTTGTCCGAGGTGCGTAAACTACGGCTTGCGGTAATGGAGTTTTCAAACTATGCACTAACATGGTGGGACCAATTGAGCCAATCCAGAAGAAGAAATGGAGAGCCAGCCATTCGGACATGGACTGAATTGAAGAGATTGATGCGCAAGCGATTTGTGCCATCATATTATCATCGAGATCTATTGCATAGGCTTCAAAGCCTTACTCAAGGATCCCGGACTGTTGAAGATTATCACAAAGAGATGGAAATGCTCTTGATGCAGGCAGATGTGCAAGAAGATCCGGAGGGCACCATGAGTAGATTTCTCAATGGATTGCACAGGGATATTGCCGATGAAGTTGATAGGTATCCTTCTCTTGACTTGGAAGAAATGTTACTTTTGGCCATTAAGGTGGAGCAACAACTACGGAGGAAGAACAAAATTGGGAGCTCTACCCACAAGAACTCCAGCCCACCCACCTACCCAAAAAAGGGTGAAGATAAGACACCTCTTGCACCACGACATGACAAAGGCAAGGCAATCATGGGAACTGAAGTGGCCAAGTCGAGTGCTTCACAACAGCCCAAATCTCAAGGTAACCGTAGTCGTGATGTTATATGTTTTAAATGTCAAGGTCGAGGACATTTTGCTAACCAATGCCCAAACAAGCGCACAATGATTCTAAATGCAAGTGGAGAGTATGAATCCGATTCGGATGAGAATAGTGAAGCTGATGGAGATGAATGTGGAGAAGAGGCCGACTATAATCTTGAAGCTGGTTTAACCTTGGTCACATTGAGGGCCTTGAGTGCATTGCCTAAGGAGATAAACAACGATGAACAACGGGACAATATTTTCCATTGTAGGTGCAAGATAGCCAACAAGGTTTGTAGCATGATCATAGATGGTGGAAGTTGTGCCAATGTGGTAAGTGATCTTGTGGTTCGGAAATTGGGGCTGAAAACTGAAGCCCACCCAAAGCCATATAAGCTGCAATGGCTTAATAATTGTGGTGAGGTCAAGGTTACAAAACAAGTCCATGTTGATTTCAATATCAAGGACTACAAGGACCAAGTATTGTGTGATGTGGTCCCTGTACAGGCATGCCATATCTTGCTTGGGAGGCCATGGCAATTTGACAAAAGGACAATGCATGATGGGCACCTGAACCGGTATACACTTGTTCATGATGGAAAAAAGATTAAACTCAAACCATTGAGTCCCAATGAAGTGAATGCCGACCAAAAGTACTTGTACCAGCAATTTGTTGAGGAAGCTAAAGAGAGAAGAGCGCGAGAGAAAAGTGAAGAGAGAGTTGTTAAAAAGAGTGAAGATACTTTGAATGCTAAACATTTGAGTGAGAAAGAAAAACATATGATTCCGAGAGGAAAGAAAAAGAGCGAAAAAGAAAAAGGAGAGCATCCACCCCCAAAGTTGTTCTTGAGTTTGAGAGAAGTTGAGCATTTGAGCGATGGTGAGACTAACTTCTTTCTTCTAATATGCAAACCAAATTGTCTATCTGTGCAGGACATGAGCAAGCTTCCCCCAAGCATTGCTACCCTCCTTGAAGAATACCAAGATGTATTCCCCGAGGATGTTACCGGTGGTTTGCCTCCAATTCGAGGCATTGAGCATCAAATTGAATTCATTCCCGGAGCATCGATTCCTAACCGTCCAGCTTATCGTGCTAATCCTGAGGAGGTCAAGGAGATTAGAAAGCAAGTTGAAGAGTTGTTGAGCAAGGGATGGGTTCGAGAGAGCCTTAGCCCATGTGCCGTTCCGGTTTTGCTTGTACCCAAGAAGGATGCATCATGGAGGATGTGTGTAGACTGCCGAGCTGTCAATGCCATTACGGTAAAGTATCGACACCCTATACGTCGCTTGGATGATATGTTAGATGAATTAAATGGTTCTACTATTTTTAGCAAAATTGATTTAAAAAGTGGATACCATCAAATTCGCATGAAAGAAGGAGATGAATGGAAAACAGCATTCAAGACCACTTTTGGTCTCTATGAATGGCTTGTTATGCCATTTGGTTTAACAAATGCTCCTAGTACATTTATGCGGCTAATGAACCATGCGCTTCGAAATTTCATTGGCAAGTTTGTGGTAGTTTATTTTGATGATATTCTAATTTACAGTAAATCATTTGATGAACATACAGAACATGTGCAAGCTGTTTTGAGTATGCTGCGTGATGAGAAATTGTATGCTAACCTGAAAAAATGCGACATTTGTGTCGCCAAGTGCAATTTTCTTGGTTTCATTGTAGAAAAAGAAGGAGTGAGTGTGGATGAAGAAAAGATCAAAGCCATCCAAGAATGGCCAACTCCTACTACCATTCGAGATGTACGAAGCTTCCATGGGCTTGCAAGTTTTTATAGGCGCTTCGTACGAAACTTTAGCACCATTGCAGCACCTCTCACAGCAATCACCAAGAAGAATGACAAGTTTGATTGGAGAGTAGAACAACAACAAGCTTTTGATTCACTGAAGCATAAACTTACACATGCACCCGTACTTGCACTTCCAGATTTTTCTAAGGCTTTTGAGATTGATTGTGATGCGTCTGGTGTAGGGATTGGAATTTATAGAAATATATATATATATATATATACATCACCTACAAAATGATAATAATTATAATATTTTTTATAGTTTAAAAGTTTGAAAATAAAACATGTCAATAATATTAAAAAAAAAGATAAATCTAATCTAATTTTTATTAGTTCCTTACATTTATTCTTTAATTTTCAAATACTTTTCCAGAGAGACTTTTTTTTTTTTTTTGAAACCATCAAATACATTAACAAGTTTTCTTAGATCCGGCTCATAGGTCCGTATGATAATTAAATCATAGGTCCGTATGATAATTAAAACTTTACAAACAATAATATTCTAGTGTTCAAAATGAAATATATATGTTCTAAACAAAATATACTTCAAAAGCTACAATATCTTTAGTAGGTCCATTTCCTTTACCCTATATCGAAAAACGTGAATGCTCTAAATATGTATTAGAATATATACATTATGATTTGTGGGGGCTTGTGAGTCTACTTTTGGTGGTTCTAAGTACTTTTTAACCATTGCTGATGATTTTTCGAGAAAAACTTAATTTTCCTAATGAAAAATAAATATGAGGTTTTTGGGATACTTAAAAATTGGAAAATTCAAGTCGAAACTAAAACGGGCAGAAAAATTAAATGTCTAAAAAGTGATAATGGTTAAATTTTTGTAACACTTGGTTTGATAATTTTTGTGTGCAAAATAGTATTAAAATGTTTAAATTTGTCGCCATGGCACCCCAATTTAGTGGGGTGGTTTAGAGAATGAACCGGACTCTTTAGGACGGGTTAAAAGTCTTTTGACTTTATTCAGTTTATTCGAAAAAATTTTGGGGGGTGATGTCGTAGTTACAACATCTTATTTGATAAATAGACTGGCCTCTATCCCCCTTAAAGGTTTATGTCCTAAAAGTAAATGGTTGGGTAGAAAATTCGACATTTCTAATGTTCGAGTATTCGAATGTTCTACTTTAATATATGATTGCACTAATGGATTTGATTTGAAAATAAAAAATTGTGTTTTCTTATCTTATGGTTTTACAGGGTATAGATTGTGGCTTTGTTCTAGACCTGGATTTAAAGCTGTTATTAGTAATAATGTGACATCTAATAATAATTATATGTCATGTTTGTATGTTGAAAAAGTTGAATTTTCCGAACTGCTCTTGGCAATTCTCGAGAATCAGGGTTTTACTAAACCTTTCAAACTCATTTGAACATCTAAAGATAGCATACATATAAGTTTCTACGTCTCTTTGAGTTTTTCCTGGCGCTATTAAAGGTCATGTGTCTATATCCTTTCATGAGTGTATAAAAAGCCAAGTCCGAGCTTTTCTTAAGCGGCCAACTCGCATTGGTAGTTCGTCTAAATTGTGTACCTATGGTTTACATGTACCTTGGGATGATGTGAATTATTTGTTCCAATTTCATGTGAGCTTTCCACATTGAATTCAATATTTGGCATTGTACCAGAGATGAAATGGGTATCTCATATTTAGAAATTTTTAATTGGATTTTACTCATCCTTATTACAGACTTGTGCACTTACTATTTATCTTTTTCAATACATTATGTTTAAATGTGGGATCTCCCTTTGGTTTACAAGGGTGAAAGGTCACTCCACCTATTATCAATTGGTTTTAAGTTGGAAGCACGGAGTCTTTCTTAATACACTCAAAACTCAAGTTATGTTTAATACTACACTAATTTGATCTCTTACTTCCACCTTTCAACAACAATGGCAACTTTATGCCTTTCTTTTTCTAACCAATATCATGGAACTTTTGGAAGTCTTCTACATTATGAGTATAAAGGATGTCGCATAGCCTTTGTAGTATAATTGTCCTGTAGAGATCAAATTCCTCTTCAAGTTTCAGATGTAACTAACGTCATACAACTTCCTCTTGCTTGAATTTGGAGTTTTTATTCTTGATGTCCTATTTAACCATAATTCTCAATGATATGTCATCCGCGTGCGAGATGGATGACTCCAAAATCTCCATGGAAGTAGTCTTCCATAATTTCTAAATTACTGCGAAGGTGTGACGAAACTTCAGAGTCCAAAACTACTGTTCGCAGCAACATTAAGAGCATGTCCTGTCTTGAATGAAGTGTGTGATCTTCTGCTTCCTGCCTCATTTACTTAAGTGATCACAATTATGCTTGAGGTGCAAGGTCCAACAAGCTGTTCCACCATTTAAATTCTTCTCTCAATGAACTAGCAACAAATGTCATTCATTTATGCTTCCGAAATCCGAATTCGAACAAATTTTTGTGTCATTCATACATTAGCAATTTCAAATATAGTTACTCTATATATAAAACGAATACCAATGTTCATTAATAATTCCATGGAAGAAAAGCTCCATCCCACATAAAAGATTAAGCCAAAGGCAAATCGGGTTAGCTATCTTTCCATCTAGCCAGTTTCAACACATTCAACACATTCTCGTACACAATGAATGTCACTGAAGAAGCTGGAGCATTTTTCAGCACATTTGCAGTCATACCTCGGTGAAACCCCCGCAGACCCTCAAACCAGTAAGCCAAAGAAAATAAGATCACTCAATTTGGAAAATCATGTTATGAAACATTGATACAACTCAGATTTGAATGCTATTTGTCTGTTCATGGATCTCACTTGTTTCCATACTATTTATTATCGTGGATGAAGATTGCATATATTTAAGTATATGACTTACCGTGCAGTGTCCTTCACAACATGGAAGCTATCCATGTATCTTGGAATCCCCTCAATGCCAGGGCGTTGCTGTAGTGTGTGAAGAAGAAGAAGAAGTAGCGATCAAGAAGGGGTAGAGTTATACAGCAGAATGATTTCACTTTATCCAGAAAGTGGATAAAAAACACAGAAAAACACATGCAAAAAACTTCATCACCAAACATATCCACATAAATAAACTCCTCTCTCAAAAATGAAATAACAAATCAAAATAACTAAATTCATTCAGTGTTCAATCATATTAGTTCTTTTCCTATTAAAATCATTATATATTCACATGTTCATATATTACTACTTAAAATCCACCAGTCCTCCCTACTTTCGAGGACATATATATGTTATATATAAAAATTTACAAAATAAAGAATCATTCATCTAACTGCACACAAACACTTTACTAACAAATCTTAAGTACTCAACAAAGCCTTTCTTAGTACCTGAAGTCTTGATCGAATAACCTGTCAGACGACACCAAATCAAATTAGGCAAGCAAAACCCGGAGTACAGTGAGCTGCAGATTATCGAGTTAGAAATGCAGCCTTACCTGAAAAGGGTAAGTCAACAAAATGGCAGCTAGTTTTGAAACAGCACCCAAAAAGGCATAATCAAATGAATCCTGCAGAAAAAAAGTGCCAAGAGGCCAATTCTTGTAAGCAAAAGCCAATGCAAAATGTTAGATTTATATCCATATCTACATCTATATCTATATCCATATCTTATACATCTCTATAATTTAGTTAATTATGATAAATTCTCTAATTTGCTATATATATATATATGTACTCTTCCATTTTTTTTCTTGGAATAATATTATTTTATTTTCCCCCTATTTCTCTACATGTTATCAGAGCCAACTACAATTTAGGTAAAATTATGGTTTAGTTTCCAATCACGAGTTCAGCAGCCGCCTCCTCTCAAACCCTAATTATACCAAAACTCTTGTTTTTCTTCTACTTCAATTTAAGTTATCATTTCAAACAAACAATATCATAATTCATCTCCTAACATATCGGCGACTCCAACCATGGTGAGAGAGCCTCCGTAAGCCGCCACACGCTCCCCCACTGGAGGACGACATAGATTCGATTTTAGCAATTTTTTGACCTTTTCCAACGGATTTTTCAGACACGCACCTCACCGGCGCGTTCCTCTCCTCAAAATGCATCAGGTAGCGTTGCCCTCCTCTGTTGCCGCCGTCACATGTGAGACACACACGACGCCAGCTGTCCACCGGATTTTTTCTCATGAAGCTTTTTTGCTGTTGTTTCTATGGTTGATCCATTTAAAATTCAAAATTTTCAACCTATTACTACCGATAAATTACAAGGTCTATCTAATTATAAGTCATGTGTTACATCTATACGATTTTGGTTCAAATGACAGAAACAGTTTGATCATCTTACAAAGAGAGAGTTAGAAATTAAAGAAGAACTTCGATCTGAATGGGCAAAAGTTGATGCCCAATTATGCGTCTTACTGTGGAATTCCTTAGATTCAACCATACATCCCACGTATCAAGTCATTTGAGACATACTATGAAGTTTGGAATAAAGTTGCTTTCAGTTACCGCAATGATATTTGGCGCTACTATCATGTACTCTCCAGTCTCGTTTTACTTAAAGATTACACACTTGATTTTTCTCACTTATGTGAGTAAGCTGGAAGTGATTCGACAAGAGTTTCATTCCCTAATTTCTACCAGTTCTGCAAATCCAGAGACTGCTTGGGATAAATTCTTTGCCGTATTAGCGCTTGTTCACCTTAAGCGAACTTGATATGTTCGAGACTAGATACTAAGAGGTGCCACTGTACCCACGCTGGATGATGTTCTTGTTCGACTAGTACCATTCTCCTCTAGCAGCAACACCCTTGTGGCTACCCCACCAAGGCTGAACTATCAAAGAGTATTAGTAGATGGGGTAGCCACAAGGGTGTTGCTGCTAGAGGAGAGTCATACTAGTCGGGAAAGTTGTACTAGTCAAACAAGAACATCATCCAGTGTGGGTATAGTGACACCTCCTAGTATCTAGTCTCGAACATGATCAAGTTCAGGCTTAAGGTGATCAAGCGCTAATACGGCAAAGAATTTGTCCTAAGCAGCCTTTGAATTTGCAAAACCGGTAGAAATTAGGGAACGAAACTCCTGTCGAATAGCTTCCAGTTTACTACATAAGTAGGAAAATCAAGCATGTAATCTTTAAGTAAAACGAGACTGGAGACTGCATCATACTAGCGCTGAATATCATTGTTGTAAATGAAAGCAACCTTATTTCAAACTTCATAGCATGTCTCAAATGAGAAGTATGGTTGGATCCAAAGAACTCCACAGTAAGGCACATAATTGGACATCAACTTTTGCCCATTCAGATCGAAGTTCTTTAATTTGTAACTCTCTTTGCAAGGTGGTCAGATTGTGCTTGTCCTTTAAACCAAAGTCGTATGGACGCAGCTCATAACTTATAATTAGATGCACCTCGTAATTTATCGGTAGTAATAGATTGAAAATTTTGAATTTTAAATAGATCACCCATAGAAACAGCACCAAAAAAAGCTCCTTGAAAAAAAATCCGGTGGACAGCTGGCGCGCCGTGTCTCACACGCGGCGGCGGCAGAAGACGACACTAACAGAGGCATTTTAAGGAGAGGAACGCACCGGTAAGGCGCGTGTCTAAAAAATAACTCGAATTAAAGTATAAGAAAAAACTAAAGTTTTGGTATATTTAGGGTTTGAGAGAAGCAGCTGCTGGAACTAACCGCGGCAATTGGAAACTAAACCCTAATTTTACCATGCAGAGAAATAGAGGGAAAATAAAGTATATTATTTCAAAAAAAAAGAAAAGGGAAGAGTATATATATATAGCAAATTCGAAAATCTATTCTAACTAACTATATCATGGATATAGATATTGATATAGATATAGATATGGATATGATTCTAACAGTAGGAAATCAAGTTTAACATTAGGCTCGATAAGGCTATCAACCAAGTAGCTCGGTTTCCTTTAAGAAATCAATAACGTACTTGGACTAAGATAAGCAAATGCTACTCTTAGAAAAGCAACTTCAATGCAAAAAAGCATTTTAGTCAATGAAGATCCCTACTTTGAGACTTCATATGAAAGAAAGACTTTAATTATTGTATTTCAACATCATCACCAATGATCACAATATCATTAACGTAGATGATCAACAACATTCTAGAGACATCAGAAAGCGAAAGAAAACTAAGTAATCAATGCCAAATTTTTGTAACCTAAATTTCACCACAAATGTGCTAAACTACCCAAACCACGCTCTTGGAGAAGACTTACAGTTCTTTATTCAGCTTACACCTAATTAATCCCGCCACCCCCCACCCGAGTAACAAATCTAAGTGATTGCCCTTCATAGATTGTTTCATGCAAGTCATCATGGAAAAAGTAATGGTGATATTAAGTTGATGAAGTGGCCAATCATGCAGAATTGCAAAACAAATGACCACATAAACAAGGATCATCTTGGAAACCATAGAAAATATGTTGTATAATCCAAGAATAAACTTGAGTATATCCCTCTGCAACTAAGCACACCATAAAATGTTAGAGGAACCATCGGAATGAAATTTGAGAAAACACACAACAGCATTCAACAAGTAGCTGACCCAAGAAAGAAGAGACGGGGTACCAAGTACGGTTTGTAAGGCTGTAACCTCTTCTTCAATAGCACAACGCCATTCAAGGTGGCCCAAAGCCTCCTAAGGCTGAGGTAGGAACAAAGATGACATAAATTCAGAATATGAAAGTAACAAAAACCATAACGGCATGAAGATGGAAATAGGATGAGAAGTATAGGAATTGCAACATTTGCAAATGGCAATGGAAAGATCAAGATTGTTGTTTGGTGAAAATAGAGATGTCAGAGATACTAAAGGTGGGTTGGAGTTAATGTCATATACAGAGGAGCGAGGAAATCAAATGTGTACCTGCCAATCAGGGTGAGATATATAGGGAGGGAGTGTGATAATAGAGTTAGAATGACTAGTAAACGACTCAAGAGATGGAGGCAAGGGAGAATATAGAAGAAAGAGAAATAAAAAAAAGGGCAAACACATTATCCTTGGATGACATATATGTGCAAGATGAAAAAGAGAGAGGTATAAAGTGTCCTAAAAAAACACATAGGGAGATATAAAGAAGCAAATCAAAGATAGGCTTAAACATTGATAGCATTTTTCAATGGAGTAGCCAAAAAATAGGTGTTCAAGGGACATTGGATCCAACTTATCAATAATAGAATGAAGTTGGTGCACAATGCAAACACAACTGAATATGTATAGATTGGAAATGGCTGTTTTCTTGGAAATTAATAGAAGTTTGACCAGATAGTGGTGCACAATGCAAACACAACTGAATATGTATAGATTGGAAATGGCTGTTTTCTTGGAAATTAATAGAAGTTTGACCAGATAGCATAGGGAATTCATGTGATTGTTAAGAAGACATTCGTGTGAATTAACATGTTGTGATCAATTTCAACATGTTAACTTTTCCATTTAACTACGCCAGTTCATTGTGAGGTATATGGGCCCAATAATTTATGTTTCCATATTAATTAGGGCAATTGGAAAATGATTTTAAAAAATATTTTGTAGCATTATCACTGGCACAGAATGAATAGAAAATGGAGAATATTTTAGAGCAAACTTTCATGAAATATAAATAGGTTAAGAAAAAGGATAAAGTGTTAACAGCTGTCCAAGTTGACATGATTCACAATTCAAGATGGAGATGGACTTCAAGTGAGGTAAGATATTCAAATTAAGCTAGTATGGGTGACCAAGGCGACAATGTTTAGAAAGTGAATAGATAGAGGAAATGTGAGGACAAGATTAATGCAAGTTATCAAAGTAATGTATGCAGTTCAACTCATGCCCTTCTCCAATCATCTTTTGGGACTTTCAATCTCGGACAATATCCGGTTTAGAAAAACATATATATATAATAGTTCAATTTACTATTAGTTTATTCTTGGACATAAACTTGGGGACAAATAGGGAAGTTGAAACAATAGAAGCATCAACACCATGAACGAAGGTGGGGGTTTATCTAAATTTGTGGATATTTATCCTAACAAGCCTTTTTTTTATTTTTTATTTTTTCATGAGCATCCTTATTGCAATGGGTGCAATGAAATCGTGTTCCCCTAGTATGTCCACCATGTCCACGTGCATGAGTCCCTCTTGCTCAAAGGGGGAGGATGTGTGACAAGTGTAATTGATCGACAAGAGAGCCAACAACTCTTTGGAAATGGAACAACACACAAAAGAGAAACCTCGCCAAAGGATGGAGATTTACATTACAAGGAATTTGAGCTCCAATTAGCTAAAGTTTGGATTTTAAACCTACTAAAAATGTCATTGTGATCAATAGTCTCGTTGTCTTTGCATTTCTCAAATGTTTGCCGAGATAGGAAAGAGATAACTAAACTTCTCATATTGATTTTAGAGGAAGAAAAAATAAATAAATAAGTGAGCTCTCTTGTTTGGATTGGAAGAGTTCAATGTATACATTGTACATGCAGGGTATGTTGTTGGAATAAAAAACTTAGCATAATCCCGTACTTCTTTGCACGTGATAAGATAAAAGGACATTGGAAATTTCCATTTCTATAGAATCGAGGAGAAGATGTAGAAACTAAGTACCATCAGCTTGGAAATTTTCCATGGGAGTAGCATCAATCGTTCTATTAGCAGGTACACTAGGGCCCGACTAAGATGAGAGAACTTTTTGGTTAATTAAGATGGATATGAGTGATTAGCTGAAGAAATATCATACGAGTTCAGAAGTGGGGTTAAGAATAGACTTCCGTTTTTGCTATGATACCATGTTGGAAAGATAGAAATAAAGCGGAAAGAGAAATGTATTATTTATCTTGATGTATTACAATACATAACATATCTTTATATGCAACCTAGAGATGTAAAAGGACTGAGTTGAATCACACCTTTAGTTTAGTAACTCAGACTAGTAAATTCACAAATCTAATAAATAAAAAATTCTTTAAAATATGAGGTTATACACATTTAGACCCAAGGCTATAGTGAAGATAGAAATGGACTTTTTTGGCGAAATTCTATAATCGACAAACACCGGAAAGAGCACACTGTCAAAACTCATTCAATCAATCGAGTAGAGAATTGTACACTACTTAGCACTCTATCTATTGATACATTAAGCTAGGCTTTCTCTTTCCCCCGATCACCGACTTCAGAACTAAACTATACCCACCAAAATAGAGAGATAAAGTAAAGAGATGTAATAGATACAAAGTGTTAAATATATATATATATATATATTGTTAGAGTTATATATATATATATATATGTATATATCAGTTAGTATTTGATTATAAAGCATGGGCCCAAGCCCAAATTTGATTAGGAAATTGTATATTAAGCATATAATGTATATGTTTAATGTATCCCTAGACCATAGCAGTTGATCAAAATATGTAACTATTTCAACAAACAAAATATGCAAGGCTTTTATAATTCATCTAGAATATTGCTACCACATTGTTAGCATTGTGCCTTTTATCACTCATTTTCTTTGATAGGAAAGCCATTGCCCAGTTCGGCCAAAATTAAAACCAAGTTAACAGTATCCATAGGTTTGTAATAAAAGGATATTCTCAATGAATGTAAATTAGAGTCTAAGCGTGACAACATTTTTGAAAAGACAAGATCATAGAGTATGAGCACGTACCAACAACCCATTGGCTATTCTATTTTTTCTTTCTCCAATCCTAATATTCATAGCAAATTTTCGAAGTTCTTCATATGCTGTAAATTGAACTGCACCATGTGTAACCTGCTGGAAATATACTATAACTCAGTATCTTTACAGCAATATGTGGATATACAAGTAGTCAACTCAAGTATAAGAAATATTAAAGAGAATTGAAAATTTTGTCCCTTAACTGCCTAACTGGACTCCATTATCATTTTTGCATCTAATTGAGAGCCATCTGGTTTAAGAACAATACGTGTATAGAAGTCCTTACTTCTATCCTTAAGCACTTAAAAACACACATACAGGGCACGTGCACTAATGTGGCTGACCTCAGATGATGTCAATGTCCCAGAGCTGACATGTATTAAGTTATTAACACACGTTCAAATTCAAGTTCAAATGAAAAGTTGTATTTAAAGAAAAATATAACATATAGGGTTTGTTTGTTTTGTGATGGTTTGAAGTGAGATTTTTTTATATAAGGTATAGGAAATTGTATACGTAATATAAAAATAATGAATGTATATAATATATTAATATTTTTGGGAAAATGTGTTGGTTTGTTTTCACAAAACAAACAAACCAATAATCTTTTAGAAATGCAATTTGGCTTACTTAGTTAGGTCAAATTGCAAAATACTACAAAATTGCATCCCCAAATCAAAGATAATGACAAACATAAAACCTACCCCAAAACACAGTCTTCCAGCCATTACCTAGCGGAGCTACCTAGCAATTTTTTGATAGAACAAATGCCGAGGGCATTACTTCATCTTAATGGATGGTCTCCAGAAGTTGTTGGGGCAACCACTTAGAGGGTGGCGGGGTGGGGCCTGCTTTTGAAGACTGAAAATGAGATAGGGAAGCCATTGGGAATGAAAGCGATGACTTCTAACAATGACCAGAACAAACCTCCCAGAAGGAAACTATGCTTGTTTTAATCACATATAATTTCCATCGGGAAAAGTATAAGGATTCCTGAAAGTGTCAACGGATTTGATGGGCATGCTGGTGACATTCCAGTAGACCCCGTCGTCTATATTTGTAGTCGAATTTGGTGTTAGAGGGGATGGAAAACAAAGAAGATGTTGGTTATGAAAACAAAGAAGATGAAGCCAATGGGTCAAATCGTGTCTTTGGAATGAGTAGGGTATATTCATTGATTTGAGGATTATCTATGGACATGGAGATTAAAGGGTTTTTTTTCTGCAATTTGGTCCAATTTGATCAAATTGCAAATATAAAATAACATTTATTTATTTTTTATTGCCACGTTAGCAGCCGGAAGTGCAACCTTGTCCGTCCATGACAGCTTTGGGATGTCCACATCATCTCCAGTCAACCCACACCAGCACACGTGTTCCTCATGTGCATATTTCCGGTGCTAGAGGATAGGAATAAGGACTTCTATAAACATTTTTCTAACATCAAACGGCTTATAATTAAGGTGCAAAAATGATAATAAAATCTATTTATAGGACAAAATTTACAATTTTCTAATATTAAATTATGAAAAGAAAGACAAACAAATACAAGGATTTAATGCAAACATAGCTAAAAGTTGGAAACGTCGAACCAAAAAAAGACCAGGCACAAGCCCTTTGTATAGTGCCCTCCATCCCTCTTCTTTTAGTATGGTTCTTAAAGCATCTGAAATCCGTTATATATGATACAAACAAGACACAATTTATAATCAACGGAAAAACTAGGTTGCACCAAAGAGTATACGTGAAAAGAAGGTATGCCTTTTACTTATCCCACAAAGCAAACATCAACAACTGAAGCGCCAAATGTTACAGTTGTAGGTACATCATTCAAATATTATCATGTGAAAAACATCCACCGCTTTTCCACATACTAATTTCAGTAGCAGGTGGGCTCCATATAGTTATCTAATAAATCATTTGGGAAGATGCTATTCCAATGAATCCAACATGTCTTCTTGATGCTTTTCCAATGCATATATTTCAACTAAATGAAGTAATTACGAAAAATGCCGCAAACTTATGTAGGAAAGCATGTCCAAGGAGAGTAAAATCAGAGAGAAAGAGGAAGAAAACTCTTCCTAGTGACGCAAGCTTTAACTAAATTGAATATAAGAAAAGCAAACAGCATGCTTCCATATATAGAGAAAGAGTGAATCAGCATTATTTCCACAGAATTGGGAATGACCCATACCATAATATAGGCAATAATCAGTGTGTAGGACAAAGTATGATGATCATGAAACACTATAAATTAAATTTTAAGTACATGACTTAATGTTAACGTAAGATTTAAGCTGACCATGAAAACCAGAGTATGGACGACCATGCTGAGGAGTCTGAAGCTGCAATCTTGCTTTCACCATCCAAACAGGATTGGTGCAAAGAGAGACCAAACAGGATTGGTGCAAAGAGAGACCTAAAGGAGTCATCAAGATACTTTGATAAGCTATTGAAAACAACTACAGTTTTTTCACACCAAATAAATACATATAACAAAAATCCACAAATATGTATCATTAAGTTTCAAATATTAACCAGGCCGCCTGCTTCTGCAGCTGACGCAAGATGCAGAGTGGGTCCTAGCTCCTCTCTGCTCCTCAGATACCTCTGCTTGGCTTTGCTGTAGCTGTAAGTATAGGTATTCATATTACAAATCTTACCAGAAATGCACGTAAGACAACCAGAAATATCCCTCAAAACACACAAACATTTGATCAGATGGAACCACTATGAAGCAATTTACCATGCACCAAAGCTGCTTCTTTAATAATATCAAACTAAAAGAAAAGCAGCACATCAGAATAGGAAAGCATATCAAGGCTATAACAATGAAATTGCCAAAAGCTGAGGAGCTACAGAAGATTTTTAAATTAGCAAGGCAATCCCAGTCCTACAACCAATATATTTAATTAAGAGTTTCATACAAAGAGTATTATCGTGTACAAATTTAATTAAACAAGAGATCCTGATAGTGTGGAACAATACATTACAAAAATGTGCAAGTAAGGTATGAGTTATGACTGAAACGCATTTTGCAATGTCCTCTTAAAAATTCAAAATGGATATGATACATATCAGAAATGGTATAGATTTCGAATGTAATGAGAAAATGAGACTGTTGGACCAAGAATGTTTACACATCAAAAACTGGCACTTCGCATATACATTCAGACATTAAAATAGCTTAGAACTAAAAACCACGACAAGACACTAGAGATGCTTACAGGTAGAATTATAAACCCCATGAAACAGTTGATCCAAGAAGAGCAGGGTAAAAACCAGTATATAGCCCTCTAAGACCCTGAAGCAAAAACGTATGGAAATTATTTGGAGAATTGAAAATTCAAATAACCCTCTAATATGTGAATTAATTAAAATCAAATGACAAAGTCTTAGTGCTGACCAGAAAAGATTCCTAAGTTGCATGTACCAATTGTTATTTTAAACAAAGCATTATCCCAAACAAATCATAAATAAGAAATTATATGGTTTTTGGAATTTGACATTGATCAAATTTTAGATAGCAACCAACAAGGATTATTCTTCCATACAGTTTATGCACTTTATGCCTTGACGCCAATGCTTCAAAAAAAATAAAATAAGAATAATAATAATAAGAAGAAGAAGAACAATAATAATACTAATAATAATAATAATGTATGGATGTAATTTTCAGTCCTTACTATTTTTGCAAAAATACATTATCCACCAAACATCTCTTTTCTCTGAAAAATATTTTCTTCTATGTGCACTGTGCAATTATTATGTATTACAAATTTATAACATCAATACAAGAAACTCCAAAAACATTTGAATCAAATAGATTGTTATTTTTATACTGAATGTGTATTCATTATTGTACTAAAAAAGAGATCACGGTTCTATTTACTTGTTGGATTTTATACCTACTTTTACTATTTCAATTTTTTTTCCTTCAAAAACATCAAATCAAATACCTATTTTTTTTTAATTTTATTACATTAAAATCTAATTTTAAATTCAAAACATCACATCAAAGAACTATTTCAATTCAAAATTTTATTATTCAAAATCAAAAAACCCATAATGTTACAAGCAAACACACCCTACATAATTTAACAAATTGAAACCCGCAAAATTACATCTAACAATGAAGAAAATATTTTCCAAATTATAGGTCAACATGTCTTGTAGACTCGCACCTAACAAATAAAGCATGTGGTATTCTAATCTAACCAATTGTTACCATATAACAAGATTATGCATAAGGCATTGCTTCCTCTTTGTGGGCTGGGCTATGTATTGCACACAGTTATAAAAGAAAGCTTCATATGAAGATTATGGAAAGTCATTTACTCATTCTTCTAGAATGTCAATAATGGTTACAAGGTGGGGGAGAGGAAGATAATCATCTCTATGTGAAACATATGAACAATATGAAAGGAAAGGAACCCTATATAACATCAATCAACGGATGTCCCAAAACAAAACAGAACAAACCTCAGCCCTAGCGATATTGAAGAGTCCATGAGGAGTATTCTTATATGTAGGAATGTTTGATATTCGGCCATCATTCACTAGTCAACAGTAAAGCACTGATCATAACATGATTCAAATATTATGATTACAATCTGAGAAAAATATGTGAGGAAGAAAACCTTGGAATCGGGTACGAACAACGTCAAGGGGGTGAGTGAAGGAGACGGTGGCAAGGCCGGCGGCAGATCCGGCAACGGCATTCTCCCACTGCCAGCCATTAATCATGGGCTAGCTTATGGCTCCAGATGAGCTTGTTTCAAATAAATTGGCGAATGACTCAACAATGTCGTTTCCCCTTCAGTGTTGTATCTCAATGATTCAATTTGTCCAAATAAGAAGTGAACTTACGGCAGGACACAAGCTTAAAATACTGAAAGAGGATAATAGTTGAAAGAATATAAAGGTTGTGCGAGTGTAGAGCTCCTCAGACCATAATGATGGGAACCAGCCCATAATGCACTACAACTCATCATCTAGTGCATTTCGGCAGGCCAAGCCACAACAGGAATAGGTTGAAGATTAAAACAGACCAACCAAACCCACTGGCAGGTTGCAGGCCTAAGAGATAAACCCATTAATTTTTTTATTATATTAGGCAGTATTCAAACTAATAATATATGTTTTGTAGACCATTTATAAAAACTATAAAAGAATTAATAAAAACAGTAACAAATAGATTAAAATCAAAAATTGCATTACATAGAGTTGCATATTTATAAACTCCATCCACACACTTTAAAGTTCCTAAACAAACATAAAGTTCCAATCTCAATCAGTTACACAATTAACAATCCAAATACAAAAACACAAGTTTCAAATTAAAATTATTTAGGGTGTGTTTGTTTCAGTTTTCGGGTTTGGGTTTTAATAGTAATATTTTGAATCTGAATAGTTTCTAATGTGATATAAATAGGTGTTTATGTGATGTTTTGATAGTAAATTTGATATTTAGTATACTATAAAAAATAAAAAATAAGTGCTTGATTTGATGTGTTTTGAGAGAATTAATAGTAAAAAAACCCAAACAAACACAGCCTTAATCATGTCATTATCAAAATCCTATTTGAGTATGTTTGTTTGAAGGATTTCTACCCATTTCTACTATTCATAAAAAAAAAAAAAAAAAAAAAAAAATCCCCCAAAAACATCAAATCGAACATTTATTTTTTATTTTCTACTAAAAATCAATTTTACATTTAAAATATCACATCAATACTTATTTATATCACATCAACAACTGTTCAAATTCAAAATTTTTACTATTCAGATCCCAATCAAAATCCAAACCCCCAAACAAACATACCCTTCATTTCCCTCTGATTCATCCTCACTGATGGACCCAATATCAGACTTAGAACTTTCTATATTATCGTCAATGTTAATTCTTTCATTCAAATCACTAGTGCCATGATTGTCTTTTAGTAATCTACAACTGTTATGAAATGCTTATATAGAAACAAAATATTCCTAATCAAAACCAAAACCTCAACTAACTTAAAAGAAGATAAACACTGAACTTATAATAGTAGCCGAAGCCAAATGTTAAACCCATGGGACTGGAAATGCCACTATATTGGGAAATGCAAAAATTGGGGAAGCCATTGCACTGCGAATGCAAAGAAACAGCACAGCACATCAAATTAGTATGCATACATTAAAGAAGAGTAAGGAGATAAGTGAAAGGTTTTGGCTATGTTACAATTCATGGACTATTGAAAACAAAGCAAATTCTTTTTCACCTCCTTTTCCCGATATATCCAGAACATTAATAATAACACTGGAGTTTGGAAATAAACAGGACATTCATTATGCAAAAGCCCTACAACCACCACCTAATATGAGAGAAAGATAATAAGAAACTTGATCCAGAAAGATAAGGTAAAGTGTGCAGAAATCGACCCCCACAATTCCCAAATTCTAAATCCATTAAAGTTTTACAGTCATACTCTTCTATCCCAATTAATTCATCATTTGAATATTAAAACAGCATACAAGATTTTCAATCCCACGCTTTCTTGTCCTTTCGAGTTGCAAAAAAAAAAAAAAAAACAAACAAACAAACAAACTTACCAGGGGTTTTGGCTGTTGGAGATGAAGCCCAATCCCAATCGATGACACAGAACGAAGATAAATGAGACGAAGAAGCTGAGAGAGCGACGAAAGAAGAAGAAGCAACAGTTCGGGGCTGAAGAAGAAAAACGGTGGCGAGGAGAAGAAAGAGAGTACAAAGGATCTGATCGCCCCTCCTAACCCGCGGCCCGTTTGGTTTGGATCGCCTAAAGCCTGTCTCCAAACGGCTATGGTAGGCTAATTTGGCGGCATTGCCTTTTTATTTATTTTTTTTTTTTTATTTTTTTTTTTTTTGTTTGTGTTAATAATACTCCTTCTATTCTTATTTTTATTTTCGTTCTCCTACATAATTTATAGAACAATTTAGCTCAAATGGAGAACATAATAACTAACAAAGAAAGCTCTCCTAAACACAATGCAATTAATTTTGAAAAAAAAAAAATTGTCATTTATTTCAAAATATACTATTCAAAATTTTTTATTAATTTTATGTTTATTTTTAAAATATTTTAATAATTTCATAAATTTAAGAATAAATATTTTTATAAAAGAAATGATAATTAAATGAATAAAATTTAAAAAAAAAAAACGACAAATAAAATAATCTATTTAAATTTATAATAATATAAAAACTACTTTATAATAAAATTAAACAAAGATAAATTAAATTAAACTAATACTCTCTTTCTCTCTACCTAATTTTCTTTTATTATTTTCGTATTCACCATTTAAAATTATTTATTTTTCTATAAGAATAAATATATATATATATATGTTAAAGGATAAAATATATTTAATTTTAACATAAGTAATAAATATACTATGGTAGACATTAAAAATATACGTCTAAATTCAATTAAATATTATATATTTTGGAAGAAAATAAAATTTCAATAAAATATATGTCTAAATAAATATATGAAATAATCAAAGCTACCAAAGTCGTTGAGGAATTCGTCAAAGGGAAGGTTTTCAAAGTTCATCCCAAAGCTTTAAGATGTTCATCGCGTTCTTCACAAAGCATCTACCAGACCCTCTTCAATCCAAAAGTCAAAGGAAAATGCCGACAAAAGTGCTATGGAACACAAAATCCACCTCCTCAAATATCAAAACCTTGGATTGTCTAAAAAAGACATAAAATTCAAAGTCGACAATCAAATCACCCACACAGAGACCAAACATCTCCAAAAGCGGCAAAGCCAAAGCAAAAATCAAAACATCAGATCGTCTAAAAAAAATATCAAATCTAAAGTCAACGATCAAATCGCTCGCACGGAAACTAAAGCCTCTAAAGTCCGGCAAAGTCAAACCGAAGACCAAATCTTTTCGGATCAAAGAAGCCATCAAAAATCAAGTTGGAAAACAAATCAACTCGGAAAGAGAATCAAATGACCTATTTAGAGAATATGACTCGTTTTTAATCCAAATTAAATATAATTTGTACAAATTGTGTTTATTAAAAATAACACAATTTTTTGTTTACAATTATTACAAATATAATTAATTTATATATGTAATATAAATGACAAACATATCATAATTATTTTACGCATTTCAACTAACAAAAAATTATAAATATTATTTTCTAATCTTTTACAAAAATAAAAAATAGTTACGTTAAATACTAATGTAGAGAATATTCAATTTTAAGATAATTTTTAACTTATAATTTTTAAAAACATATACTACATATGTCCTACAACAAGAGCATTATAATATTTGCATTTATATAATATAGTGTAAATTATATATGTATTTATTATATTAGGTAGATAGTACAATTACTAAATTAGAAAATTATACCCAAACAAAAATAAAAAATAGTATTTTTTTATGTGGGACGAAGAAAGTATCAAACTTATCACAGATCTTTCATATATTATATTATTTTTTTATGAAATATATTATATGCATATATATTGTGTTTAATATTCACTATAAATTAATTTTAAAATTATTGTGTTGGTAATTTTCAAAATACTTTTTCAATATTTTTGTGTTTATTTATATTTTTATATACCCATAATTTTTTTACTTCTAATAATATTTTTTGAAATATTTTATAAATATCAACTTCAACAAAAAAAAAACTTCAATTTCATATATGCTAAGATTATTTTTATTTACATCTAATACTTTTAAATTCACGAAAATCAGCTAACACTATTTGCAGAGCTTTGATTTATGTAAAAAAACAAAACAAAAAAAAGGTACAATTTTAAATTTAAACAAACACTAAAGATATATAATTATTTCTTTGTGTGCAGCATGGGAATTAAATTGTTTATATTGCTAAAATAAATCAAAAAAGTCATATAAATTTAATTTTGTTTTTCAAAATTTTGGTTTCTTAATTAAAATAATTTTAATATTTTTTAAAAGATTTGGTTCATAATATAATTTCAATGTAATAAAATAGTGTAAAGAATTATAATAGAATTGTTATTGCTGAAATTTGTCGATGACGGTCCAATCAAATTTAGGCCTGTCGAAATCGACGTAAATTGGGTTTTCCTGCCTACTCAAGAAAATATCCGGACTAGTATCGCAACGAAAGTTAACGATTGTAATTGCACATGGAAATTAAAATGCTAAATTGAAAGAATCGGAAGAAAGCCGTAGAAACAAAAAGGATCGGATTATGAAATGGATAATTAGAGAAAATAACATTAATTTAGGAACAAAAATAACAAAAAAAAACAAGAAAGAAAAATAGATAAAACTCGGATCATGTGTATTCTTTTTGAATGGATCCTCGTTTCTCATATCTTGGCTCCCCTTTAAATTGTATGAGATTTCAACGGTACCTTAATCATATCCTATTTTATCATATCTTGGATGGACCAAGGACCTTCAATCACCTTCTCATTAAGTGTTTCTCTAGGATTTTTACATCTATAATCAGACCTCTCTTCACAAAAATAGTTGGTTTCAGAACCACTGATTCTTGATAACCAATTTCTTTGATCTCCGAATGGCTTTCCGATCGATAATATTTCATCAAGCTTGTCTTTTCCTTCTCTACTTTTAGCTGTTTGATTTTCTTCTGAAGACTTTAACAACTCTCGAGGATTTTTTCATTCATTTCTTCAGCCTTTTCAACTCTAGTTTCCATTTGATAAATTGTGTTGATCAACTTTTTATTTCTTGCAGAACACATACCTTTTATTCAGCAACAACCTCTTTATAAGCTTTCATTAGCTCATAGACATTCATTTCAATGGTTTCGTTACTATCCCAATCATCTTTGGAACATTCTTCAAAATATGCATTCTTATGAATTTTGCTTGATTAGCTATTTTATTATTATTATTATTATTTTTATAAATGCAACTTCTTCTTCATCATAAAAAATAGAAATACCTTCACCGTCATCACTTCATGCCACTTGGTATGCATTTTTCTCCCTTTTCTTGACATCGCACATTCGGTTTGATGTGACCAATTCGACCACATCCAAAATAATTTGATTTCTTAACAACATCAAATTGTGAGGACATCGACTTTTTTGTTAAACCACTTTGGAATGAACCTTTGAGCTTACTGATATTCAGAAAATTTTGCTAAAAAAAAAATTTGTTGTTGTCTTGTTGCTTTGACATCTGTCTGATTTCGAGTCTCGGACTTACTAAAATATTGTCGAGCTCGTTTTTCAATTATCATTTTTTACAATCTTCTAGACAACAGAGATATTTTTTTATCTGATTCCACTAGTTTCATGGCTTCATTAGAAAAAATCAATACCTTTAGGGCTTTCCTTATTAATATGGTTTATCTCCCATGTCACAAAAATACAATTCAAGGTTACAAGAGTCATGTTCCTTATTTTCTTTTTTTCTTCAAGGGTAGACACTTTGGTTTCGAATTTTTTGTTCACACTTCTCAACATTTTTCAAACCAAGTCACCAACCTTTGTTCATCATATTGTAAGCCAAGAGCGTAGGCTTGGTTTATCACATCCTTGAATCAAGTGTAGAACTGAGACATTGTTTCATCATTTGTCATTTTTAAAGCATCGAACATACTTTCAACCCTTTGGAGTTTTGATTCCTTAACTTTAGTAGTCCCTTCAAAAGCATTATCCAAGGCATGCCATGCATCTTTACCTTTGTTGCCGTTGGAAATAAAATGAAACTGTGTCTCATCAACTAATGTAAAAATAGCATTTTTACTGCTTTGGCATTTCCAGCAACTATAGCATTTTCTTTGACAATCCATTCATTCTTTGGCTTAAGGGCAATAATGGGTGGATCATTATGAATTTCTCCAAGTATGACTTTCGTTGGTGGAGTCCAACTATGTTTAAAAGTCTCTTATGTTTCATCACCAAGAGTTAGCAAAAAAGCTTCCTTTCGACATTTTCAATAGCCATAGCTGCTTCCATCGAAGATAGGTGGACGAATGGATGAAATTGCTTCTCGATTTATCTTGAACCACAAATAGATATTGAGCATGCTGCTTTGATACCAGATGTTGGATATTCGATCGGTCCCAAAAGAGGTCCAATACTTCTGAGTTTTATATGCAACGAAAATATGAAACTGTTGGTAGTTGACACAACTCTGAACACGTGGTTGCCTCGCGGTTGAAACTGCAATGTGTATGTGTGCACGACTTCATGGGTGAACAAATGCAAAACAAGAACAAAAAAACACACACGATTTGTTGACCCAGTTTGGTATTAAAACCTACATTTGGGGATACCAATCCAGAAGTCTTTCACTAAACCAAACACTTGGTTTACATCATTCAAGACACCAAACAATCTATCCAATCTATCATCTACCCAAGCTCTTCTTTGTTTTACAAACATAGACGGATTGACTGTTACAACACGGTAACAACTCCAGTAGACTCGCAGTCAAGGTAAGAGTAAAGTTGATTCCATGTTGGTTGTCTCTTTCGGTTCCAACTCCTTTTTCTTCTTCTTCTTTACAACATCAAATCTCCATTGAAGCTCTCTCAACTCTCTGAAGCGAGAAGAGAAAAAATTGTTGTGAAAATCTAAATAACTCTCACGATTCAAATACATACATACAAACAAAACACAAACCTTGTACACATAAGGATAAAATTGATTGTGTGCAATTTTGAGGCAATGGGTATGAGGCAATAAATGCCTTGCTAGACGAGTGCAATATACCAACATCTTCTTTTGCATGTCCTCTATATGAGACGACTCGTTTTGTCCCATTTCATTAAAAGAGCGACAAGCTTAACTCCTCCAAAGTTGGCTCATCAGCCATGGTAATATGTTAAACAACAGCTGCAACAACAGACCTGCAGTCTTGGTCATATGTCAAAATTAGAAAAAAGGTTGTCATTTTCTCGAAAGGGTATACTTGTCCAAACCTCTTTTTCAACACGTACTTTGAAGCTCTTAAAAACATCAAGAGCTATTTATTTCTGATTTAATTTACATGTAATTTTGAGTGAAAAATCATCAATAAAAGTTAAAATATACCTTTTATTGCTATTTTACATTGAATTGATGTGACCACATCCATCTAAATGAATGAGTTGAAACTTCTATGTTGATTTCCATGTACTCCATTTTGGTAAGCTCTCCCGATGTTGCTTTCCTAATAAACAACTTGAGCATAGCTTTTGTGGAATTTTTATTCAGGGCAGCCCATCCACCATTTATTACTTGATAAAGCCATCAAGCCTCCTTGGTAGCTCAAGTGTCCAAAACGGCAATGTCATAGGTGTGACACTTCTAGTGATTCAGCCTTCATTAGCATAGATAACTACATTTCCATTTCAGCAAAGAAGTAGAACATCCTATTACCAATCATGTCATGTTAGAATTCGTAATCACCCATCTCGTTGGATGGTAGCCCTTGCATGAATTAACACCGACAAGCCCTTTTCTTGGAGTTGTCTTATACTCAATAAGTTGGTTCTAAGTGTATACATTTGAAATTACCTGAACCCACCCGTTTACTTTCATGCACTCACTCCCTTTTTCCTATGACAGCAATGCAGCATCGTACCCTAATTTCACAGTTTACTTGAAATCCTGATCCGAAAGTAATTACTTTACTTTAATGAAATCCAAACTGACCAACAATTGACATATAAAGATGCTGCCTGCTAATAACTAGATTTTACAGGTAAAGGAACTTAGACGAAAACCAGAAAATATGACTGTAAAAATCTCTACTGTATTGCATTATCGATCAAAACTAGCCGAGGCGAGTTGAGCCAGATGGTTGGCTTGTTTTCTTTGCTCTGTCAGTTGAATGCTTGACATCTTCACATTACCAGTTTCGCGTCTTTAAATGCCATGGTCCAGTAGCTCTACAGTTGTTGCAGCATAAATGGCTGCCAGTACAGAACAAAGTTTAATTAAATACCAACACTTATTAAGGCTGGTTTGCAAATGAATTATGAGATCTTCAGAAAGTGCAATCCATGGATAATTCACAACTAACAACTTTTAGAACTGTTCAGCAGGGAGGTCAGATTGATTGCAACATTGTATGCATAATCAAGCATCAGTAAGATTTGAGTTCAGACAATATTTGGATGAATGCAACATCAAGAAATCCGGTGGAAGCTCTATGTATACTCTAGGTTCCCTTTTTTCCTCCACAAGTCCGTAGGATATCTAAAGTTAAGAAGCTGTTTGTCATAAGTTGATCAGTGACTCCAAGGTTCATTCAAGGACCTGCCACAATACATGGTGGTTGATAACTAAAGTTGCCAAAATTAAAAGGTCATGATTGCATTTGTTCAGTAATTAGAACGTGGTGTTTCTAAGTTCTTCCATACGGAATGACTCGTAAAAGAAATATAGGGATGTCAAGAAAAATTAAATCCAGATATAACCGAAGGGATAATCAGATTTTGGAAAAAAAAAAAAAAAGAATAGCACTGCATATTTAATTTATATTTAAAGTCATTTTAAGTGCATATTGGCTGCGAAGCTCCTGAAAATTAGATGTGCATATTATTTTCCATCGAAGTGCATATAGAGATCCAAAAGGTAGAAACACCAGTCAAACGCCACATAACCAAAAGATTAAAGAACATGGGGAAACAAAGACAAAAACCCCCAATAGTTCAATAGTGCATATGCTGGGTTTCTATATGTCCCTGCAAACCCAAAGATGATGTAACAAAATGTTCTAGGTTGTATCTTCCTACTAAGGTTTTTACCAAATAGATATTGTTCCACTCAAGATGCATTCTAACAATAAGCCATTAAATTGAATAAATATAAAACTAGGTCAATCAATGCCCAATCAACAATTCAATACATGAATTGAAGGCTTAAAATCAGTAACCAACTGTTGAGGGTCCTGAAACATGAATGTCAGAGAATAACTCGAACTCAGGGCATGGGAAGATACCAAAAAGGATCAATAATTAGTGAAGTGATGCGACGAAACAGTGAGTCCAACAATCTAAGTTTAATGGAATGTCCCTAAACAATGACCGCAGTAATGTTAATTCTTTAAGAATATGGCTTTCATAACCTACAACATGGCCGTTTATCAGACAGAGGTTCAACTTTACACTGCCACAGTTATGTACGCATAAAAACCTCACCAAACCAATCTCAGAAAATGTTATGGGAGCAGCACAAAGGCAACAAAAATAACAACATAAAGAGACTCCACCAGATAATTTAGGACAAATTAAAGGCTCTGCTTTCCATAGCAGCAACATATATAAGCAAGCAGTCCACTAGAATAATAATAATGGATAGTCATCTCAAGCACACATTCAGAAGAAATTCCGAAAAAAAGCTCCAAGAAGAGATCAAATAAGTAATTGCAAACAAAAGTTCAACTCATTTCAGTAACAATTTCAAGTCCAAATCCCAAAATCATTAGCTTTAAATACCTTATTCCATGACCACTTTGGCCCCGACCCCCTTCAACTTCTCGATAATTTTCTCCGCCTCCTCCTTAGACACGCCCTTCTTCAACAATGTCGGCGCCTTCTCAACCAAATCCTTAGCCTCCTTCAGACCCAAATCAGTACAAGCTCTTACTTCCTTAATAATCTTGATTTTAGCAGCTGCATCAAACCCTCCGTCCAGCTTCAAATCAAAGGCCGTCTTCTCCTTCTTCTCCTCTTCCTTTGCCGCACCTCCGGCGCTGCCGCCTTTCCCCTTAGCCATTCCCGACGCGAAGCCCATACCGGGCATCATCACTGCCATCATCGGCATTTCCTCTATCCCCATTTTCTTCCTCAACTCTTCAGTTAAATCCGAGATTTCAAGCAAAGTCAGAGAGGAGAGTTCATCGGCGATTTCCATTACGCGTGCGGAAGGGCCAGCAGGCTTGGATTCCTGAACTGAGGCTGAGAAATTTCGAATCCAATTAGGGTCCCTCCTCACTGCGGTTTCCATTGGAAGGGGTGCTGTAATTGGTTTCGGGAGATATTCGAGGGAATGAGAAATCAACCGATAAAACTGACGTCTCATTGCGAAAAATGTACTTATATTGTACAAATCTATAGCGGGACGGAAGGTATGATTGATACGAGAGAGAGCTCAAAGCAGCAAGTTGTGCTAGGGTTGATTCGTGATATAGAAGACGATGATGACTGTAGACTTGCTAAATTGGTTTCGAACCGGCCGATTCAAACCGGAACCGGTGATGAGAAGTTTACTGCTCCGATTCGGTGGATTTTGCCTGAGGCCAAATCCGATTGTAATTCACAAACCATAAGGAATAAATTAGAAAAAAATTTAGACTAGTTAAAATTTTTTAAAAAATTACATTATAAACCTTCCAAACATCTTAATCTAATAGGAACTAATAAATATTAAAAAAAATTAAAATTGGTTTACTCAATAAAAAAATTTATATACTATATTTTTTAATTAATATTATAGAAAAATATAATATATATATAAATATTATATATTTATACACAATATATAACATAAAAAAATATTTCAAAGTCAACGTACAAAACAAACACACTTTCAATCATTACAAAACTAATGTTTCTTTTTTTTGTGAAAAATAGAAACAAATTTTCCAAGAAAAAACAATATATTACGTATATTCGTTATTTTTATATTATGTAAAAAATAAAATATATTCAAACTATTTCACAAAATAAACATACCTTTAAATTTTACAAAAATATAAAAATTACATAATGTTATGATTTTGTCCCTGCTTAACATCAGCGCTTGCAATAGCGAATTCAATTTTTAGTTATATTTAATTTTATATAATTATATTTTTTTTATATCTGTTAATTTCAAATACTTTAATCTTCTAGCAACCAATTAATAATATTAGTTTTAAACTTAAAATATATCAATTATTAAAATCTGAATATGTTGTTCAAAAATATTTTAAAACTATTTATGCATACTTATAACGGACAGACAAAGCACACAAAAATAATTAATTCAATTCAGCCTTCAACTTGGTGGACATCGCGGGGTTCCAATCCAAGTTTGATCACTAAAACTTTAATGGATATTTACAGTAATGTACATCTCAAATCAATTTCTACAATGACTAATTCCAAAATAATAAATACATATGTAAATCCATAGTTATTGTAAACTTCTTCTAAAGAGATGTCTACCAAGTTTCATATCATATTTCTTGAGTCACCATTTTAGAAGCTTGAAATAGTGAATTTCAACCTTATTTTCAGGCATCAAATGATTTCTCCAGTAAGCAAGCAGTATAAAGTGTTTGAGTAATTCATTTTGCATTAGGATGATGTGATTATATCATCATTCAGCCATTTTCTTGGATCAGATGAACTATCCCGAACATGATATTTTTAGCTCAAAAGCTTCCTAGGAAGATTTAATCATTCAACTCGGTATCTTCCACCGATAAGTCTTATCGACCATCAATTTGTCTCAAAAATTACATAAAAAATACATACAAGGTTCTTTTTATAAGATTGTCCAAGCAATTTGCTCCAAGTGTCAACATAAAAGTGAGTTTGTTGAGGGATAAATTCAAAAGATTTATCTCGAATTTTACGCTTGGGTCATCATCATATGATCAATTTGGACTGTTTCCATATGTGCCTATTCAGTTGGACTCATGACAAATGGGCATACTTACGAAAAAATAAATAAATACAATTCACTATCAACAATCTTGCTCTTTTAGTTGATGTTTACCAACTTAAAGTGAAAATATCAACAGCACTACAAAGTGTTTCAATTTTATCAATTTCTAGGACTAAGATCCTCCCCCTCAACCAAGCACAAATAAAAAGCCAAGTGTATTCATTCAATCAACAAAGAAAATAGCAAAACAATATACACCACCAGATAGGTAAAATAAAATTGAACAATTAAGACCGAAAGAGGCAAAACTAAAAATATTAGTAACACTAGAGCTGAAAAATGAACAAACAATTTGTGAATAAAGCTTGGTTCAGCTTGTTTGTGATTGTTATTAGCTGATTCGTTAGGTTAATCGATCCAAGCTCGAACAAAAATATTAGATTATTTTATTAATGAATGAACATAAGTCATATTCGCGAATGTTCGACACTCTTTGTTTTGTATATGTTTGTTAAGGAGTTAATTTGTCATTCACTTTGTATGATTTTTTTTTTATTAAAGATTAGTTTTGTCATTAACTACCTAGAGTTTTTTAAAGGGATCATTGTTATTTATATTTTGAATTTTATAGAATTTGTAATCTCATAACAAACTGCATGGATAGTTTTTCGTATATTATCTCTTATTTTCACTTTTCCTTCTATAGCATCATACTTAGATTTAACTCATTTTATACTTCTTCATTGCGATAAATTTAGGTTTTTTATATTATGGATCATAATATCTATATGATTTTATGCAAATATATATTTTTTAATTTTTTATGATATATTTGTAATTTTGTGTTTATATTCATAACTGTATATATTTTTTTTATGCAATCTATTTTTTTTTTCTTTTGGAGTCATGATTTTATACAAATGATTTTTATAAGTATTTTAATTCTTTGTTAATTTTTTAAACAGCCAATTGAGCAATTGCAAGCTGCATTGTCTTCATATATGATTGTTGGGGATTTTTATTTTCAGACATTAACCCACAATTCTTTCGAATATGAGGGGTCATTGACCTCATCCTAACAAATTCTCGAATGGCTTCATGAATAGACAATACTTCGGCATGATTTGATGATGTGGCGGTTATTATATGTTTGGTGGATCTCCAAGAGATCATAGTATCACCATATGTAAATATATAGCCGGTTTGCGATTTTACTTTATGTGGGTCAGAAAAATACCCAGCATCGGCATAGCCTAATAACTCGTGTCGAGAATTATTCAGATAAAATAGGCCAAGATCACTCGTCCGTTGAAGATAGCGCAAAACATGTTTGATCCCATTCTAATGTCGTTATGTAGGAGATGAACTTAATTTTGCCAATAAATTTAATTAAAATGCAATATCTGGTCTTGTGCTATTTGTTAGGTACATGAGTTCACCTATTCTACTGAGATATGGTACTTTAGGACCAAGTATCTCTTCATCATCTTCTTTTGGTCTAAATGGATCATTGTTAGGATCAAGTGACCTGACGATCGTTGGGGTACTCAATGAATGTGTTTTATCCATATAAAATCGCTTTAATACAATTTTTGGTATAAGCGGTTTGGTGGATGAATATTCCATTATCCACATATTTAATTTGTTGACCAAGACAAAACTTTGTCTTTCCAAAGTCTTTGAACTCAAATTCCTTTTTCAAATATTCCACGGTTAATTGGAGCTTTTCAGGAGTCCCAATAATATTGAGATCATCAATATATACTGCAGTGATCATAAATTTTGGCTCATTTTTCTTTATGAAAACACATTGACATATTGGATCGTTAGTGTAACCTTCTTTGGTTAAACACTCAGTGAGGCGGTTATATTACATGCGTCCAGACTATTTGAGTCCATACAGAGACTTTTATACTTTAATGGAACATTCTTTGGGATTTGATTTGCATGCTTCAGGCATGTCATATTGTTCAAGAATTTTTATATAAATATCATTCTCCAGTGAACCATACAGGTAAACAGTGACTACGTCCATGAGGCGCATAAAGTTTTTCATGCATTGCTAGGCTTATAAGGTATCTAAATGTGATACTATCCATAACTGGAGAATATGTTTCATCATAATCAAACTCAGGTCTTTGTGAGAATCATTGATCTACAAGCCTCTCTTTGTATTGAACAATTTTATTGTCTTCATTTTTTTTTTCCTCACAAATACTTATTTGCACTCAATTGACTTAACATCTTCTGGTGTTTGAATTATAGGTCCAAAGATATTTCTTTTAACTAGTGAATCTAATTGAAATTGGATAGCATCTTTTCATTTTTTCCAATTGTTTCTTTTCCGATATTCATCAACTAATGTCGGTTCAAGATCCTCGTCATTTTTCATTATATCAAGTGTCACGTTATATGCAAAAGCATTATCACTAATGGTTTCCTTTTGGCTTCAACTTCTCTTTGTAGCGATGAAGTTAATTGGATTCTCAATAACTTTATTTTCTTATGAGATAGGCTCTTTAGGAACACCATCTTCAAAGATTTGTTCTTTGTCAATACAAATTGTTTGAGGGATTGAATCATCAATCAATACTCTTTTCTTTCGGGGATTTTTATCCTTGAAACCCACAAATCTGCCATGCTTCAAGTGCGCAGAGGATTCATTGGCACTTTTTATTTGTCCATCTGGGACAGTTATTTTTGCCGGTGCATTTGCTGCAGGAATATACGACGTAGTGACTCTGCTGGAGTCACTAAATGCATCCGATAACTTATTTGCAATTTGTTGCAAATGTAAAATTCTTTTTACTTCTAATCACACTGTCATAAACAAGGATCCAAGAAATTCATAATATTTTCCAAGAAATTTCCTTTTTCAGTTGATTCTATTCTGGCCCTAATATCGGAAAATTTGTGTCGTCAAAATGACAATATGCAAATTGTGTAACAAACAAATCATCCGTCAGTGGTTCAAGGTATTTAATTATCGACGGTGATTTTTACCCGACATAAATTTCCAAACGACGTTGGGGACCTATTTTTGTACATTGATGTGGTGCAATATTTGGCATAATACAAGTCAGAGGACAATGATGACAATTTTTCAATTGCACACTTATTTACGTTGATGATTTTTGTAATCACTAAATATTTATTATTTGTCTCGTTCATTATTTCAATATGATATCCGCTTCTACGAATATCAATGAAACTCAGTAAGTTTCTTTGAGCTTTGCTCAAGAACAATGCATTTTGTATCTCAAGTCCGATTCCTTTGGAGAAAGGGCTTTTCCGGAGCCTTCAATTGTCACATTGCCACTTATTATGCTGACTTTTGATTTTCTCAACTTCAGGTGAGAGAAATACTTTTTGTATTTCAATATCGTGTGCGTAATCGCACTATCAATTAAGTAAATATTGTCCTCTTTATAATATGTATTTTGACACATAACATCCATATCCTTTTCACAATAAAACAAAAGGGAAAAAATATATTAGTATTGTTTATGGACTATAAAATTGGGAGATTACAAAAAATAAAAATGGTG